TAGAAGTCTAGCACCCCAACTTTCCCCCAAATTTGCTCCTCACCATTGGGGATTGGAGCCTCTAGACCCCAGCCTCTGACTCCTTCTCCCCCCTCCACAGCTCTTGCTCCCCTCAGGGACCCAGGCGTCCTGCCCACTCCCTTCACCATAACAACCATTCTTTTTTGGAGTTGCTTAAGACTTTAATATCATTTCATTAAGTCAGTAAGTTAAGAGAAGTTTGGGGACACAAAGAGACCAGGGGTGGGCCAAAGAAGACCAAGGTAGGGGGGAAGAGGGGAGAGCCCCCCCCATCCCCTTCTCCGTGGAGATGGCTCTGAGAAATCAAATATTGACAGTGAGAGAACAGAACTTATTAAATCTGGGACAGGGGTGTGTGTAGGGAGCTGTGGGAATGGCCTGATGCCTGGGTTCTGAGAGCGATGAATATTTGGGGAGGAGAGATGAACCTGTGGCCAGGAGGATGTTCAAGGCTAAGGGTCTCCATGACACAAGCGTTGTGCCCCTTACCATTGGGATGTGCTCAGTCTTGCTACCCTTGTTTCTCAGCTGTCCCCTAGAGTCCCTGGGGACAAGCCCCCTCCATCACAGCTGTTGCTGTCCCCCCCTCCTACCTTCTATTCCTTTCCCCCTACCTCCACCTCTGTTGATGAGCTTCAGCATCGTTTAATCGGATTGAGCAGTAATTAGCAAAGCGAGATGTTTGATTACCTATTTAGCATAATGTGGGGGGCTGGGCTCCCTAGGCACAGCCATGGTTGAGGGAGAAGTCAGAAAAGAAAATGGGGTCTCTACAAAGTTCCTTTCCCTGAGGGATTCTCCAACCTGCCTTTGAGGCTCCCCTTCCCAAGCCTCTCCTCAGATTTTTATTCCTTCTGGACTTCTGCTGGGGGGGGGGTTCCTGATCAATTAGTCACATCACCTCTCTGCCACCTGATTAGAGGATCATCCACAAGGCCCATCGTAGGCCTGTGTGTTAGGCAGCTGGTTTGGCGTGACCTCTTTTCCCTTCAATTCCTGCTCTCAGCAACAGGAATCTGGGCTGAGCAGGAGGCCACAAATCAGTCTAGAAACTCACCTGAAGGATAATCACCGCGGAGGTGGTGAGGGCAAGGCAGGGGTCTGTCAATTTTAGAAATAAAAATGGTGTAGGTGGGATTGGTGAGGTCAGGGTTGGCTCGGGGTGTGCTTTTAATTCACCCACCCATCCGTAGTACCAGAGATTGCCATGCCTGATAGTCTGATAGTGCTAGACTGGCATTTTGGAGACCTGTCAGGTGTGTGATAACCGACCGGAAAAAAAAGGGGGGAACGGCGTTGCCAGCTTCTCCTCCCTTCATCCAGCAAAGAAAATGTCATCAATTTAGCTCCTCATGGAAATGCAATCAGAGGGCTCGCTGCTGGCTTTGTCTTAATTAGGCACTATTGATGGAAGAGGGGAGGGCGCCTCCTTACTCCTCCCCCCCCCCCCCATTCTGCTTCCTCCCGGTATTTCCCACGTCTCCCCAAAGCCTCTCCTGACCACAGGTACAGCTCAGTCTTGCATGCGCCTCCCGGCGCCCCGGCCCGCAGCGCCCCCCAAAGTCTACCCGGTCTCCAAGTCCCTCGCCCCTCGCGTCCACTGGACGCAGCCTTTGTTCCTATGGAGAGCGAAGCCCCTCCCCGGCCCGGTCACCTTCCCCAGGGAGTCTCCGCCTCCCGCTCGCCCCCCCCCCCCCCCCCCCTCCACCAGCCAGGCTTTTCAAAGCCAATCCTCAGATCCCCCAAACTCCAGTTCCAGACTTCCCTCCCTCCCTGCCCCGCGGCCCCTCAATCCAAGACCCCAGTCCGGACCCCGAAGGGGGTACTCGAGCCGAAGGGCAGGGGTGCTCCAGCCCCGGTTTTTCTCCCGGACCCAGCTGCAGCCACGGCTGCTTGGAAATCCTGGAGCACCTTCCAGAAGGCGAGCCAGTCTCCCCCGCGGGACGCCGGGCGCCATCTCCTGGTGCAGTTCGGGCTGGAGCCGAGGGTCGGGCGTGGGGGCACCCGTGTGTTCTCAATGCCCTTCGGGACTGTGGCCAACTCTTTCCCGTCCCAGCCCTTCCAGCGTGGTCCCGCACATCCATACCCCCCCTCCCCTCCCCTCCCGCCGTCACTTTCTGCTTAGGTCCCCACCACCCCTCTCGTCCCGGGTCCACGCGGGGGAGAACACGCGAGGGATGGGAAAGCCGTGCAGGAGTTCGTCCACGCGCCTGCGCAGTGGCGGCGGGCTCCACGGACCTGCCACTCACCCGGCCCTGCCCGGGGTTGCCATAGCGACGCGTGCGGGTGGGGGTGGGGCGGAAGGCCACGCAGGGCAACTTCTTAGTTGGTGTGGCTCAACGGTTGCCCACGGGAGGACAGGGTCGGCGTGGCTGTGAGGTGTGTGTCGGGGTAGAGGGAAGGAAGGAAGTCATGCTGGGCACTAGTGGCAGTCGTGGCAGCCTAGGAAGGGATGGTGGTTGGGGAGAGAGGGCAGCTGGGTGTGCAGGACGTGGGGTTGGGAAGAGCCAGGGAGAAAGGGTAATTTGGGGGGTCTGGGGCATTTAGTGGAAAAGAGAGGAGATGGGGGGAGAGGCAGCTTTGAGGGAAGAGGAAGGAGAAGGAGTATTTAGGGGTACGGTGAAGAAGAGGGGCCAGTGGTGTGGAGAAAGCAACTATAAGGGGGACACTGGCCCACGGGTAACCCCGAGGTCCTGCCCCGTGATAGTGAGCACCAGGCCGGCGGCCCGGGGTGTGGGATCACGGTTGGAAGTCAGTCCCATGGCTAAGGCTCCCCAGGCTCCACTCGGAGCCGCAGCGCAGCCTGCTGCTTCCCTGGAGGTTGATGGAAGAAGCCGCGTTGCTGTAGTTGGTTTTATTGATTTGTTGACCTAACAGAACGTTTTTCCTTGGAGCAAAGTACAAATCCTTCAAGTCTGAAATTTCATAACCTATGATCAATGCCTGTAGCAGCCTGTAGGGATGAGGAAGGAAAGCTACAGGTGGCTGTCAAGTTTATAGCTGAAGAAAGAAGGAATGCCCGGCAGTCCAACATGGCCCTTGGGGATTCTCAACACCTGCCAACTTTCAGCCATCCTACTTTTCTGAGAGGCACCATTGGGCCTTCCTCATGCCCTTATTTCCTTGTCCCCATAACACAATGTGAAATTTATTAACAGAGAACTAATGTCCTTCAGGCTTCCCAGTCTATTCTCAAAGCATTTGAAATCAAATGTTCTTAATCTTTCTGATCAGTTAACCCAGACTCAGCTAACTGATAAGAAACCCTTGTAACACACAAAACCAGAGTCCTGCCCCTTCATTTCTTTTTTGGTGTTGCTGAGATTTAAACTCAGGTTCTCAAGCTGGCTTTGCAAGCACTCTGCCACTTAAGCCACAGTTCCACTCTTCCATTCTGCTGTTCAGATTTTAGTGCAACCCTTACTCGGTGCCCTGATAAACGTAGTCACTTTTGAATTCACACATTGAGTGGGGCCTCCCCCCAGTTTGATGCTTTTCTTTTTTTCTTTACTTTTTTTTTGGTGTGTGGGGGGGTCCAGTCCTGGAGCCTGAACTCTGGGCCTGGGCGCTGTCCCTCAGCTCTTCAGTTCAAGGGTTGCACTCTACCACTTGAGCCACAGCGCCACTTCTGGCTTTTTTCATTTTGCTTATGTGGTGCTGAGGAATCGAACCCAGGGCCTCATGCATGCAAGGCAAGCGCTCTGCCACTGAGGCCACTGAGCCACCTTCCCAGCCCCAGTTTGATGCTTTTCTGGGGTACTTAACACTCTGAGCTGGGTAAGTGAAGGGTTTTTTTCATTAAACTGGGAGGAAATGAGGTATATAGGAAAGTCACCTTCTGTGGACCTTCTCTTACCTAGGGCCCTGTAAGATAGAGTGGCTAAAGGTTTGACTGTCTATACTTCAGCTTGGAAGATTTTTTTCCCCCCTGATCATCTTAAATTTTCCAAGCCACTTTTTGTCTCCTGCTTCTGCTTCTGCTTCTGTTCCTCTTCCTTTTACTTCATCTTCTTGGAGCACTGGGGTTTGAACACAGGACTTTGTCATACTAAAGGGAACCTCTACTACTTGAGCCACACTCCAAACCTGAAGTAGAGTTCTTTTTTTTTTTTGTCTGTCCTGGTCTTGATGTCTGGGCCTGGGTGCTGTCCCTCAGCTCTTCAGCTCAAGGCTAGCACTCTACCACTTGGGCCACAGCGCCAATTCCAGTTTTCTGGTGGTTAATTGGACATAAGAGTCTCATGGACTTCTCTTCCTGGGCTGGCTTTGAACTGCTAGGATTACAGGCATGAGCCACCAGCATCCAACTTTGAAGAAAGTGGGACACCCTAGTGAAAAAAGTGAGGATTCCAAGACCCCTCTTTTGTTCTTCCTTCCTTCTGTCCTTCCTTCCTTTCTCTTTCTTTGTTTCTTTGTTTGTTTCTTTCTTCCTTCCTTCCTTCCTTTCTTTTGTAGTACTAGGAATCTAACTCAGAGTTTTGTATCTGCTAAGCAAGTGTTCTACCACTGAGCTACACCCCCAGCATGCAAAGGCCCTAATGAGTACAGGCCCCTAGTACTGAGCAAGAAATAGGTACCCTCCCTCTCCCCTCAAAGATAATTACATTGGCCGGGTACTTGTGGCTCACGACTGTCATCCTAGCTACTCAAGAGGTGAGATCTGAGGATCATGGTTCAAAGCCAGCCCAGGCAGGAAAGTCCATGAGACTTGTATATCCAATTAACCACCAGAAAACCAGAAGTAGTACTGTGGCTCAAGTGGTAGAGCGCTTACTTTGGGCTGAAGAGCTGAAGGACAGCACTCAGGCTGAGTTCAAGCCCCACTACCACACACACACACACACACACACACACACACACACACAATTATATTGAAAGTCTCCCTCAATTCTTGAATCTAAAAGGGATTCTGGATTAGGGGCAAAATTGGGTAATGGACTCCTGTGTACTCCTATGTACCTGCAGGTTTTGCCTACACAATGTCCAACAAACCTGACAAGAAGCGGAAACCAGGGAGCCGCCGGGGAGGTGCCCGGGGTGGCCGTGTGGGGCGAGTTGTTCAGCCCCCACAGGTTAGGCCTATTGAGAATGTCCTGCCAGTCGTTGAGGTAGAGGAAGAGCCTGAGACCATCAAGGAGGAGCCTGGTGAGTACTCCATGGGGTAGAAGAGACTTTGGAAATGGAAGGTAGGTAGGGCTGGGAATGTGGCTTGGTGGTAGAGTGCTTGCCTAGCACATGAAGCCCTGGGTTCAATTCCTCAGTACCACATAAACAGAAAAAGCCAGAATTGGCACTGGCTCAAGTGGTAAAGCACTAGCTTTGAGCAAATAAAGCTCAGGGACAGTGCCCAGGCTCTGAGTTCAAGCCCCAGGACTTGTACACACACACACACACACACACACAAGGAAGGTGGGGGAATGGCGGGCTTGGAGGCAGAATGTATTTTAGAATGGTCTTAGGGCAGGAAAACTGGTTCTCTTGTTTTAGGGACAAAAGGTAGGGACTACATGACACCCCAGCCATGAGGGGTCAGCAGAACCTCAGCCCTACTGCTCTTTGTGTCTTCCTCCTGGCTAGCCTCATATTTATTCTGTCTTAGAATTTCCCACCAAGGCACCGATCCTTTCTCTAGCCTCTTCCTCCTTATTTCAAGTGTTCTGGTTGTTCCCACCCCACTGCAGAGGGTTTGATCTCTTCCTTTTTCCCATTTTCACCCTGGGTGGCAAAACAAATAATGTTTTTCTCCCATTAAGCTCATCACCATGGAGACTCAGCCTGCTTTGCCACCCTTTGAATCCTAAGCCCGGCTGATGCTTTCTACCATCTGTTGAAGGCTCCTGTATCTCCGCCCTCATTTTGGCAGGGACTTGGTAGACTGTGGAGGTTCAGGTTCAGGGTGACAGGAATAGAAATCTAGAAAGAGGGAGCAAAGAATTTAAAGAGGCTGCCTCTTATGGTTTTTGATCCTGGAGCCAGCAGGGTTGGAAGGTTTTATTTGGTATTTATTTAGTCATTGCTGTCAGGTGCTTTCCTTTAGTTCAGTGGCCAGGGTGGATAGAACTGCGGGGCGGCGTGTAAACCTGACCTTTGATAGGGGCCTCCTTGACACTACTAATGTCCTGTCAAGGATAGAACTAGAATCTTCATCCTCCCCTCCCCTCCATATATATATATATATATATATATATATATATATATATATATATAATTTTTTTTTTTGGTCCTGTAGTGGGGTTTGAACTGAGTGCTTTGTGCTAGAAAAGTGTCCTACACCCAACTCCCTCCCTTTTTTCTTTCAATGTTGAAGATTGAATCCAGGGCAAGTGCTCTTGAGCTACATCCTAGGCTTGCCCTGTATTTATTTCCCTGGATGTATTATCTTCTGTATTTTGGAAATTGAGACCCAGGGTCTGAGTACACTATAAGCAAGTGTTCTACCATGGGGCCTCATACACCTCTAGAACCCCCTTTAATATATATGAGATGGCTCTTGCTGTGTAGCATAGGCTGGCTTCCAGGTGTTTACTTTTCTTGACTTTTTTGTTGTTGTTGGGCTTGAACTCTGAGCCTTGGCTTTGACCCTCAGCTCTTCAGCTCAAGGCAAGTGCTCTACCACTTGAGCCAAAGTGCCACTTTCGGTTTTCTGGCCATTTATTGGAGATAAGAGTCTCGCAGACTTTTTTGCCTGGAAAGATCCCAGCCTCCTGAGTAGCTAGGAATATAGGCATGAGCCCCTGGAGCCCCACCTTTTCTTTTTCTTTCTTTTTTATTTTTTGGTTAGCCCTAAGGTTTGAACTTGTCTTTGAACTTACTAGTCAGATGCTTTTTTTTTTTTGGTCGATTGTGGGACCTGAACTATGTGTCTGGGCCCTGTCTTTCAAGTCCCATGGCCAACAAAGAGAGAGAAAGAGAGAGAGAGAGAGAGAGAGATGTGCAACACTATTTCTTCTAAGTTCCTTCCCCTCCCCCAATTTTCTTTTTCTTTTTGGTGCCAGTAATGGAGTTTGAACTCAGGGTCAGAGTTTTCTTCGCTTTTTCACTCAAGGCTGGCATCTGTGGAGCCACAGCTCCACTGTCAGCTTTTTGCTGGTTCATTGGAGACAAAAGTCTATCCAGTTTGTCTGCTCAGGCTGGCTTCACGCTGGGATCTGCAAATCTCAACCTCTTGAGATCTCCCAGCCTCCTCTGAATTCTTAAGTGCTGAGTTGAAAGCAAATTAAAATGGATTGACTCCTAGAGTCTGGGTGCATAAGGGAGTAGGGGAGGAGGGAGAACGGCAGAGGGAGGTTTGGTTTAGTTTGGAGAATTCTCTGGAAGCAAAGGAAAAGCCCTTCAAAATGAACAATTGACCTCCAAACACCAAGGAACCGTGCCTCCCCCACCTCTCACCTTCTTATTGTTTGATCTGGAACTTTTCAACTGCCCCAGTAACCCTCGTACAGAGAGATCTTGAGGTTCCCAAACTGTCCTGCATTTATGATAAATCACTGAAATGTAATTGCAAGGGACTGAGGCCTATCCATTGGAAACTGGGGGGCCTATGACACATTTTTGGTGAAAGTTGGGTGTGTGAGAATAGAAACCCTTTCCTCCTCTTCCTCCTCCTCCTCCTCCTCCCCTCCCCTCCCCTCCCCTCCTCCTCCCC